AAAAAAAAATTACAATCTCGTTATTATAGATGTATGTATTTTATTAAATTTATTGAGAACAAATCTTAAGTTTTAATACTTGACCATACCAAGTTGACTCAAACGTTAGAAAATTTGGGTGGTCACGTAAGATACAGATTTATCGAAAGACCTCAATTTTTAAATTTTATGTACTTAGGCCTTTGTTTTTTATGGAAAAATTGAAGGTAATTAACAACATTAAAAATAAAATTAAAAAGTATGAACAATTTTCAAGTTAACAATATTAAAAATATAAATAGTTTAATAAATTAATTTATCAAAGAAAATTCCATATAAATAAATGAATAAAAATATAAAAATAACCAAAAAATTTATCAAAAGATAAAAGTAAAAATAAAATAAAATTATAAGTCGATAGCATTATAAAAACTTTAAAAAGTCATGGTCTAGATTGTGTTCCCCACATTCAAGGTATAGAATTCGAGATTTAATTCTCCTCTCCCAATATAAATTTAAGGGATCTATAGACACCTTTAATTATATATATAAAAGTAGAGATAGAAAAGTTTATGGGTGACATCAACATCACATCGATGGTTTTAGACAATCACAGATTACAATATAGTCAATAATTGTTCACAATAGAGTTAGCAATGAGAAGGCACGGACCAAATCAGAAGGTCATTACCATCCTAGCCTCGTCGATAATTTTTGAGAGTTCAAAAGGGATTTAAAAAAGGGTTATATTATCACCATGGATCATGCTTCACCAACAGGGAGTCTGACCGACCCCTTAACAGAACCTCACCAATAGGTGGGGGAGGACCCATTTTTTTGGCACGGGATCCATCCCTTTTGGTGGGGTTCTGTCAAGGGGTCGGTCCGACCCCCTGTTGGAGAAGCATTTTCCTTTCACCATAATAATTGTTTACCATAATTTACTGATTTCTTAAATAATTATGAATAAAATGACATAAATATCTTATCTATTATTGGCTCATATATTTATTTATTGAGTAACGCTATTTATAGTCGTTCACTACAGTAGTCGTCTAACGTGATATCCTACATAATGGTTTGTGATTTGATTTATTAATATGGTAGTTTTTCGTGCCATATATATCAAATCACTAAGTATCACATGCGTATCACATATGATGATTGCGATAGTGAATGACTGCAAATAATATTATCTTCATTCATTTCACATCATCATCGTGCACCACAAAAGAAATAATTCATATTTATACCCCGTTTGGTACACATTAATGTAAGAATGATGATGAAAAATATAATCGTTACAAGTCCCACATAAAAGATAGAAAGTCAAATATGGTGTTTTGATATGATGAATAAATGTCATATTTTTTATTTTAATAGGCAAATAATTGAAAACCAACGGGGGCTTAAATATACAAATGCAATGATTCATGCAGCAAAGGATCTGAAGATTAAAGATATTTTGATGGTTATATACCACCGCAAAAAGGGTTTTACCTTTATAATATGCCACATCAAATCCCATGACAAACAGGATGGGGGTGGGATGGTGTGTTGACTTGCCTTTTCTTTTGAGCCGTGAAAGTGGGGCGCATGGGAGAAATAAAATGGGTGGAGCACTGGAGTAGATTGGAGAGGAGGATAATGCACACAATTTTATTTTATTTTATTTATTTATTTATTTTTTAATTGAGTTAAGGTTATAATTATATAATTGTTATGGCGTGTTTATGAAAAATATATTTTAATTAGCGTGTGCATAAAAGTGATGTAAGAAATAATATTTGTGGCTGCAATATATATTGTCCTTTTAATTTTCATTGAATTGTGACTATGATTGTAAATTTTTTGTGTCGCATTTATTGAAAGTATGTTTTAGTTGTTGTGTGATTATAACGTGGTGTAGTAAGTAAAATTTGTGGTGATAATATAATTATCCTTAAAAATAAACACTCACTTACTGTCCGTCTAATTATTTATTTTTTTAATTTATTTTTTTTGAAAATTGAAAGATATAAAGGTAAAATATAATAGACAAATTATTATAATAAGAATAAACGAGAGAAATATAATTGCAAGAAGACGAAAATAACACAATAATAGGTCGAATTTGTTGTGTGCTATATATACCAAAACTAATAAACATGAGGTAAAGTAAAAGTAAGCAATAATCCCACAATCTTGAACCCTAACCCTCGGTCTCATCTCAAACAAGCGAATAGAAAGAGAATGGCGTCAACTGCGAACGGGCTATAAGTTCATAAAAACATATGATCAAAAAAAGTTGAACCCCAACCTTAAGGGTCCCCCACCGTCCCGCCCTTGGAGCATCGTGTGAGAGGTTAGTTGCGGGATTATGCAGCTAAAGGTTCTTGCCTACCATGGCCGTTATTGATACCGTCATAGGATTTGGTCGACTTCCCCGACTTCCGCCTTAGAACGATTATCCAAGTGATAGCTTCCAACAATAAAGAAATGCCTCCTAAAACGGCAATCAGAATAATATATGCTTCCCTCCACTTGGGTTCTGGATTTAATATATCCAGACCTTTGAACACATTGAGGATGCCAAGGACAAGGATAGTATAGCCAATTCCATGATGGTAGATATTCCAGTAAAACCGAAGCTTGTGGTCCTTTTTGGGTCTCAAGAACAATGCAAATATCTATACAAAAATCCAAAACAACGCACCAATTTGTAGTCAGGACAATATAGAGAAGATTCTAAATTTTACATCCATGGAAATTGGAGCGAAATTTACCTGCAAAGTAGCGAGAGAGAAGAGGGCAATCCCAATATTGCGGTGGACAGTATAGCGAACGCCCTTGGATTGACTTCCGAGCTTAAGGCCCGTCCCCCAACCAGCAACACCAATGGCGTAGGACGAGACTTGGCAGAAGATATGAAGATAAAACCATGCTGGATCGGCCGAGGGGAATGACCTTACGTACCTCGCGATAATGATCCCAATTGGAAACATAATTCCCCAACTCACTACATTCAGAATCCCATGAATCTGAAGCAAGAATCGCCAAAATTAGTATCCCAAATTAACAGTTTCCTCACTAGCCCACAAGCAGATGGGTACACAGATTTTATTTATTTATTTATTTTTAACTTCTTATCTGGTTTTTTTGAAAGATTCCTAATGACAATTACTACTCAACAAGAAGTATTCAATGGTTCGAAATTCATTGTATTTGGACAAAAAGGAAAATAAAGTTAGTTTGCGTGCAACTTTTTCATATACAGAGAGATTGAAACAAATGGTTATCCATAACGAAATCAGATCGAAAGTAAAATTACCCAGAAATTGAAATTTCAATGAAACCCAAAAATCAAAGAACGAATGAACTGGTATAAGTAAAATACAGTAGAAATTTGAAATTTCTTACGTTCTTCTTCTTGGTTCTGGAATCCCCACCACCGCTAGAAACAGTGCTCTGTCCTTTCAACAAATCAAGGCTCCCTTTCGAGTTCAAATTCGCCGGCTGAAATTCATGCTTGTCGGGAACCCCCGCCGTTACAGAGGGGCCCACCTGCCACACATGTTTCACCGTACTCTTCCCCTTCTCCGGCAACACAACAGTAGCAAAAAGCCGCATCACCCCGTCGGAGAATTCCGCTGATGAGTTCCTCACCTCGTACCACACCTTGGATTCCGTTACAGGACCGTATGAACTGATATTATACGTCTTAACAGTCATTGCGCCCTTGGAGTCCTTAAATGCGATCAGAGCCTGGGACCCGACCATTCCAGGGGAGGTCGGGTTTATGGCCCATGAAATCCATCCGTTTGGCTTCGCTGGAGCGGCGATGAAGGCGACGGAGAGGGTGGACTTGGCCGAGTCGTAGGCCCAGTGAAGGTAGGAATTGAGGGAAGGGAGATCGTTGCAGAAAGTGTAAAGCCTGTTGCTGGAGAACGTCTGTGACTGACAGGTGGCCGACCGCGACGGAGAAATTAGAGAAACTGTTAACAGAAGGATAGTCACTAGGGTAAGAGAAGACGCCATTGACAGGAAAGTAGTGTAAGAAAGAGCCGCAGAGAGAGAAATATAGAGAGGAGAGAGGCTTTGGTTCAGTGACCACAATATGGCAACTTTGAATTGGAGGCTCTGTTTGGTAACAGGGAAGAAGAAAAAGGATAATAGGGGAGAGTTATTCTCAGTTACTAAAGATAATAAGGGTATGTTTGATAGGATGGAAATAGAATTAGAATTGGAATTGGAATTGGAATTGGAAGATGAATTGGAATTGGATTTTTTAATTTTAGGTGTTTGATATATTTTCTTTTCCATGGAATTCGAATTTTTGGTTGTCTTAAAGTTTGAACTTTTCTAGGTTTTTAAGGTGGAAAATTGGTTTTCCTACCTATTGTAGCATTTTTATTTTTTTCTTTTTTTTGTTGGCAATAGAAACAAATTATAAAAATTATTGTAAAAAAATATTTTCCTTTAACTGACAATTTTCATGTAAAACAAAGTCAAACGAACATCAAAAGATAGATGATTTTCTTGAATTTTTTTTTTGTATGTTGGGAATGGAAACAAATTTAATTCCTAATACCAGTAAAATCTATCCCTTTAATTAACAATTTTCATGTAAAATAAAACCAAACGAATATCAAAAATACTTTTATTTTAACATTTTTTACGTGGAAAATTATACCAATCAAACGTAATAATTTACAATTCTCAAGAAAACAATTTTAGACAATTCAATTCCCTAAAATTCATTTTCCAAGTAATTCAATTCCATCTTTACAATTCAATTCCATTTTCTAGTCGAGGTTGGAAAATTTGATGTATAGGCTATAGCTATTGAACTAAATTCTAGATTATTGAGTTGCCACTTTTAATAAAGATTTTTTTTTTTTAAATTTACATGTCGAGGTTTAAAAGTTTGGCGAGATATTATACAATCTAGTTCGATTAGTAACTCGATCAGAATTCTTGATTGTTGAGTGATGATAAAGAAAATTTTCAAATAACAAGTTGGGCAAGGTTGGAAAGTTTGGTTGCGTAGTTATTCAATGTGGTTCGATCATTATCTCGATAGAAATTTGGGATGATTGAGTCATGATCTTTTTGGTTTGGATGTTGAGTATGTAAGGTAAATTTTGTTGTTTTGTTTAAATAGAAAAATCATTAAAAAATATCTTCTATTCCAAAACATCGCATTGAATTGCTGCAACAAATTCTTATAATTAATGTGACAACTAGTATCTTAATTATTGCAGTTGCTTTCCTTATTAACTCAATAATTCTTTTACCAAAAATGTTATTAGGGGGAAAGTCTTGTTTGTTAGAGAGATTAATTTAAGAGTAATACTATTTATAACCTGTTTGGCATGACTTTTTAAAAGTCAAAAGGAGTTTTTGAGGTTCAAAATCTATTTTTGGATTTGTTTGGCTAATTTTTTTAAAGTACTTTTGGTGGTTAGAAGAGCTTTTAGAGGAAATTGTGTCAATATAGCTTCCTCTAAAAGCACTTCCGAAATAAAAAATACTTTTAAATATTAGTTTTTAAACAAAAATTAAAATGACTTCCTCCAAAAACTCTTTTACGAAAAGCAAAAGCAATGCCAAACGGGGCCCTTAGAATCATTGCTTGTCAAATATCAATTTAAGTGTCAACTTTATGATAGTAAATGATAGATTCGCTTTAATACAGTGTCACATAATTCATTTAATTGAACCTATTAAATGTGATTACTTAGACTGATACTCTAACATTCCTATCCTAATTCCCTCTCTTTAGTTATTAATATTCTTTCTTTCTCTCTCCTTTTCATGTTTATGAGTG